GAGCGGGCTGCAAGCAGCAGGGAGATTGCCTAGCCCACCTGTGTGCTTTGTGGTGCGTGGAGGTGGGGTTAACAGTGCCGGCACCTGGGAGGTGTGTCCCCAGGGGAGGGCCAGGTTAGTGCCAGGTGACTCGAGCATTCTGAGAAGGTTACTGGTGTGAGGGAGTTTGCACTGACAGACCGTAATTCCAGAGCAGGAGTTTGAGAGGTTGATGAAGAATAGAAGAGCAATTCTGATTCTGCAGGTTTCTTGCTGTTGGCATTTTAGACCAGACAGTTCTTTGTGGTGAGGGCTGTCCTGTGTGTTGTAGGATATTTTTCAGCATCTCTGGCTTCTACCTACTCGATGCCTGTAGCGGCTCCACCCCTCTCAGTCTGATAACCAAAAATGTCTCCAGACATCGCCAGATGTTCCCTGGGCAGGGGTTCCCGCTTGTGAGCCAGGGGATTAGTGGGGATAGATGGACTGGCCTTGAAGGATGCCCGAGGACAAGAAGGCTGTAAAGGTGCTGAGGGGCTTGGCTCTGATGGTGCCTTAGGGAAAGGAGGGTGTCATAACTTGTGAGTATTTCCTTCTTAAGATTGCCACCTAGCTACTTGCTTCAAGTGAGTGAGGAATTTTTCCCTGAACTACACATATTCCTAGATTCTCAGAAAACTTGGAAATGAGATTACCATGTCACTGTCAATTACTTTGGAAAAAGTTTTCTGCAGCTGGAAGGGAGGGAGGTATCTAGAAACAGACGTCACTTTGGTTTCCAGAAAGGTGAATTCTGAGCCATACACTGGTGAGTTTAAGGACTATCTCAGTAGGATTCTGAATTAGATTATTAAAGGAGTATTTTGTATGTACATAGAAAAGAAAATTTAATTGTGATTTAATTGAACAGAGATAGTTCATTAAGGAGAAAAAATATTAAATGGATATCCTTTTATTGTATTAAATTGTCAAAAATATGTGTAAGTTTGGTACCCATCTAACCTTCAACAAAGTATTTGACAAGATTGTTGCGTAGTTTCTTTATAGGCAAGTTCAAAGGTATATGAGCTGGATGCAAAGACAGTATGACGTATCTGGGTCTTGTTCAGGGATCACTCTTAATAGCTTCCAGATGTGGATTGGCGAATCTGAAGATCTGAGGCTCTATCTTGACCCCACCCTGTTAAATATCTTTGTCATTGACTTGGATGGATATACAAAGGTGCGTGCTTAGAATAGCTAAGACAGTTGTGAAGGATAACAAAGTGTGGGGACTTGCCCTGCCATATAAGGTACCAAGATAACTTAGAGAGCCATAACACAAATGGATGAAGAGAGTATTGGAAAAGAATAGAGAGCCCAGAAACAGAGCCACCACACCTATATGGAAGCCGTTAAATGACTATATAGCTTATGTGTATATTCTGAGTCTCTTAAAAAGCGATATTGGGGGGCCGGCCCCGTGGCTTGGTGGTTAAGTGCGCGCGCTCCGATGCTGGTGGCCCGGGTTCGGATCCCGGGCGCGCACTGAGGCACCACTTCTCCGTCCATCCTGAGGCCGAGTCCCACATACAGCAACTAGAAGGATGTGCAGCTATGACATACAACTATCTACTGGGGCTTTGGAGGGAAAAAATAAAAAAAAAAAAAAATCTTAAAAAAAAAAAAAAAAAAAAAGCGATATTGGTACACGCCTTAAGAACCGCTGGATAATGGAAGAGACCCAAGGATGTTTATGTTATAATGGTGCAGCCACTGTATGCTCAGCATTGTACAGCTCACTGGGGGGGAAAAAGAGCATGCAAGTTAGCTCCAGATAACTGACAGCCGAGTGCAGAAAGCCCCAACTTTAGGATCAGTAGGAGTTCAGAGATGTGAAATATTAGTTTGGGAGAGAACGTTACACCAATAGAGTGACATAAGGATTAAGACGCATAGTTGGGAGTGAACATGGTGCAGTGAATTGAGTGGACACCTCAGGGTACAGAGCGACATAATAAAACCCCAGCCCTGCTACAGTGGAGGGCAGTTGTCTTGGCCTGTTCTCCTTATCTGCCTTCATGATTAGAGTTCAGCTCAATGAGGACAGGCATGGTCATTGTGACCACTGTTTTCCCATGGCCTGCCACCATGCCTGACACAGGGTGGGTTATTAACACTTAATAGTCAGAGAGGAGGGGGCCAGAGTGTGAAGACTTTTGAAACCTGGGCAGAAAATATTTGAAATGAACAAAAATATTGATTGTAAGGTTTCAGCACCAAATAACATGTATAAGAGTTGCTTTAGGATCAGCTAACGATCTCTTGGACCCCTTAGCAACATCAGGCATCTTCTGAACCCTCTGAAATTGTGTGCAAATATTAATTAGACTAGCCCTTTTTTCTGGAATATTTACAGTTTTCATCTGACATTCAGTGGGATCTAGTATTTTTAAAATATGTATAAGAATCACAACTTTTAGGGGATTCATTCTGTAAAAGATGGGGACAACTTAAAAGGTGAAAAGCTAGAAGGAAGGAGACCTCCTGGAATTGGCCATGCAGTCCAAGCCTGGGGGTTTAGGATCAGACCAAGGGTGAGCGTGGCTTAAAGGGAGAGCAGGTGGCAAGTTAGAGAGCAGTGCAAAAAAAGAAACGGTGACTTGGTGAATAAAGATTCATCTTAGAGTCCTGGCCTCCTCAAGGCAGGTGCCGTGTCTTATTTAAACCTGTATTCCCCCTGAAACTGCCACAGAACCAGCCGACGGGGGCTTAGGACTTCTTGCTGCACCTTGAATAAAGTTACCCAAGAGGATTACCAGATGTCTTGCCTAGGAGGATGGTAGTCTGGTGGAAATGGAAGGGTGTCAGTTTCAGGGGAGGGAGACTTGCAGGACAGTGAATTGTCACATTCCTGCAACTCTTTAAAATGATGAATGGTATTTCTGCAGCATTTTGTGAGCAAGTGTCCACCCACAAAGAGTGGACCTCGTTGACGCAGTCTAAGGGTCTTGTGCCCTCAGGTGCTGCCCAGGTTCTCCTGCAGAAGCTTTGGAGTGTCTCTTCACACCTCTCCCAGGAGAGGCTCCCTGAGGCCTTTCCTCTGCAAGTGATGGGTACATGGGAAGAAAGTTGACCCTTCTCACCGTGCAGGGATGGGCAAGGGATCGCTGGTCTTAGGACATCAGGAAGTTGCATCCTAGGGCATTTTTGGAACCATATATGTATCTAAAAAGATACCATAAGTTGTATATTTTTGTATTTCTCAGTATGCGATAAAATTTTCTAGAACTGCATGAAATGAAACTACTTTAAATTCAGTTTGATTTCAAGTATCTTTATATTTGAAATCATGTTATCCTTCTGCTTAGAACCCTGCAGTGGCTCCCCACTTCCCTCAGAGTAAAGTCAGGGTCCTTACAGTGGCCCGTGAGCCCCCTGGGGCAGAGCTCCTTCCTCTCTCCGATGCCATTCCCTACGAGTCTCTCCCATCCTCACCCGCCCAACCACTCGGCTTCTCTCTGTTTCTGGAACACACCAGGCATGCTTCCCTCTTAGGGCCAGGTTCTGGCTATTTCCTCCTCCTCCAGTCATCCACCTTCTCACTCCTTTCCCACCTTCAAGTCTTGGCTCAAATGTCACCTCAGTGAGACTACCCTGTCCACCCTATTTCAAATGGCAACCCCGCACCCCTGCCACCGCCTCCCCAACTTCTGAGCCTCCACGTGCTCCTTTTCTTTCTCATAACACTTACCACCTACTTCGTAAGTGCCACTAGGACAGGAATCTTCCTCTGTTTTTCTCAATGATAGATCCCAAGCATCTAGAAAAGTGGCTGGCCCACAGTAGGTGCTCAGAAAAATATTAGGTGAATGAATGAAATATATTGCACGGAATTCTCTGTCTCTCAGGTTGCAAAGATGCTGCATCATGAAATAAAGAATTCTTAAGATTTGAGAGGTGTTTGGAAGATGTTTCTCCATCACTTTTTCAGTGTGCTTTTTTGTTCTGGTTGAATTGCGTGTTCATTCGTGGTCCTTTAGCACTATTTTGGTCTTCTCTTCGGTAAAGATAAAAACAGACAAGGGGGCCTGCCCGGTGGCTTAGCGGTTAAGTGCACGTGCTCTGCTGCTGGCGGCCCGGGTTCGGATCCCGGGCGCGCACCGACACACCGCTTCTCCGGCCATGCTGAGGCCGCGTCCCACATACAGCAACTAGAAGGATGTGCAACTATGACATACAACTATCTACTGGGGCTTTGGGGAAGGAAAAAAGGAGGAGGATTGGCAGTAGATGTTAGCTCAGAGCTGGTCTTCCTCAGCAAAAAGAGGAGGATTAGCACAAATGTTAGCTCAGGGCTGCTCTTCCTCACAAAAAAAAAAAAAAAAGATAAAAACAGACAAAATAAAATAAGAGTTTCACTTATAGTGAGTTTTCACGTTTGTGCACTGGTGTTAAATTTTGTAAGTAGCTTCAGTGAAACAAAAATTGGCAGGTCTGCTATATCACCTCCAAATGGGATTGCTGGACATTGGTGAGAGAGAGGAATGGCATGGTTTTTCATTCATGATAAACTGACCTTACAGCCGTATGGAATGCTGGGGTAGAAGAAAGAGAATCTGGAATGCCTTTATCCTGTGCGCACACACAGAGTCACACCCATTTAAGAGGACCTTTTGTATGTATTCCTGAGTGTCTTTATTTCATTCCCAATATATCAAGGTGATTATGGGAAGAGAAATATAAACAAGTAAAAAGTATGAATTCCCTACTTTCCTTTTCCAGAACCTCCGTCATACAAAGTAGAGAACTTGAAATTCTCCAGAGCATAAGGACGATGCAATGGGGCGCCATGTGCAAGGGGCACCATGATCTTTTAACGTGGGATGCTCTGGGCCTCCAGTCCGGCAATTTCATGCTAATGTATTGTTTGCAGGGCACTGTATGATATTGGAGGAACGTTACTTTCATATTTCTGCAAAGTCTGCTTATTTTAAGCGCTTAACCTTTGCGTTCTTTTGCCTTTTCCGGTCCGATGGCAGACACGGGGTTGGGCGACTCAGTGTGCTCCAGCCCGAGCATCTCCAGCACCACCAGCCCCAAGCTCGACCCACCCCCCTCCCCTCACGCCAACAGAAAGAAGCACCGAAGGAAGAAAAGTACCAGCAACTTCAAAGCCGACGGGCTCTCCAGCACCGCTGAAGGTAAGGGCTCCTGGGGACCTGGGAGTGAGAGTCTGCATTTCTGAAAATTAATTTTTATCATTCTAATTTGTGAAATCACACACCCTTTGAAGCACAAATGCACAATAATGCAGGTCACTGAGTGTGCTTTCTGTTTGCAAGGGGGCGCTGGAGGGCCCAGAACCTTCCCATCCCTGCCTGATTCTCAGAGGATTCAACCAGATCAGTAGCTTACCTTTGGGTAGTTGTCTCCTGGTAGAGGGTGATGCTGGTTTCCCCGTCACACATCTGGTCAAGGTCGTTGGTCCTGCCCTCCCTCAGCAACCTGGATCAACAGTGTCCTCTCCAACTGGGGTGTGGCATGTTGTATCACTCTGATAAAGACTGTCACCTCTCCTAATTTAGGAATCTTCTCTGATCTTGGCTCGTCTTAATTCTAGTAAGACAGCTGCCTCAGTTCTGGCTTTCAGCAACATGTAATGATAAATGCCCCTTCTATTGGTGTCCACCGACTCTGTTTTGTGCGCTCTATTAATTTTCGAGTTGTCATAGTTTGTCTTGACTCTCCTTTGACTTGTTGAGTCTTTCGTTTTTATTCTCAGTGATGACTGGATGTCATCTTTCTGAGTGGCTCCTTCAGAGGGATTTACGTTTTTTTATTTCACAGATGCAAGTGGAGATACACATGCACGCACACATACACACATGCACGTTATGGGAGGTAGAATTAATGCAGTTGTAAAAAACAAGTTAAAGAAATACTTCAAAGGAAAATTAAAATTGCAAAACGTTGTGTGACATGAATTATTATTTATGAGACCAATAATAGTAAAAGAGTCTCTTTTCAACAAGGATTCCATGTATGCCAGAACTACCTTTATAATGTATATCCTTTTTTTTCCTCTATTTCTGCCACACTTCTTCTGAATATTCTACTTGTTTGTTCAAAACTGTTAAGTTGCAATGTTAGAGAAAGTGGCCTGTTCCCTCCTACTATCCAAAGATGAGCCTCTAAATCCACAATGCGTGCATTAGCAGGGAAGGAACAGAGTTTATGGTGTGTGTCCTGTGCTGCTTACTGTAATTCTGTGAGCTGGATGGCAGTGTTGTTCCATTTGTGATGAGGAGACTGAGGTTCAGAGTGTCAGGTAGCTTGCTGGGGCTCTCACGGTCGCTGAGCAGGAAAGGGTCTGAAAACCCTTGTTCGTCACCACGTTTCTTACCCTTTGCTTCCCATAGGCTTCCTGCTAACAAGTTTAGCCAATAAAAACTGATTTTCTCCTGTTAGGATAAATGAGGATGATTTAGTTATGTCAGCAGTGGTGAAAAATAGTGATTATGGGTCAAAGCACCCACCCAGACTGACCTTCTCATTGGAAAGGAATTGGCCACAGATGCTGAGCGTTGATGAGACTCCTTCAAACAACCGTTCAGCAAAGGGCACCCGGCCGTGCACATGTGGCCACACCTGACTCTGACAAGAGGTTTGGGGTAAAATCAGGAAGCAGCACAGCCTCTCACCAGGATGGGTAATGTGAGCCACACCTCCTAGGGGGGAGAGTAGGATTTGCTTTAGGGAAAGGCCTCGCATCCATTTCAAAGGTAAACATCTTCTTGTGATGTTTAAACCAATGACTTTCTTCAAAAGCACCACTGAGTAGAAGTTGATGATCAAGTCCACCTATAACTACATTGTACACATTTTAATGATCCCACCCGCCTACTGATATGGTGAAAACTATCTGAACAAGACACAGTAAATTAGAAGCGGTTACATGTTTAATTGGGCTTCTGGTTCAGACCAGTGTCCCAGGTGCCCAGCAGTGAGTTTGAAGGAAGTTTGAGAAGCGACCGTGAGCTTGTTGGATGCCTATGATGATTCCAGTCCACTTCCTGCGTGACTGGGATTGTACTGTGTGCTCTGAGCAATAGCCTATAACAAGGCTGAGACAGATCCTCAATCCAAAAACAACTGTGGACCCTTTTGTTAAAGGGCCTTACCACTGAGGCAGTGACGTGAACAGAGAGACAGACTCCCGTGCATCATAGAAACACTGAACTTAGAAGTCACAACAGCATCTCAAGCATGGGTGATGAGTAACGGTTGACGTGTGTTCAGAAGTTCAACACCAGTGATCAGAGGAGAAACCACTCCTCACTTTCTAGTTAAGAGAATATCATCTCTGTAGTACCAATGACCAGGACGTCTTTCCAATAGAAAATAAGACAATAAGTTCTCTATAAAAAGAAAATGTATCATTTTTCCCTAGGAAAAATTACCTACCCAACTATAAATGAGTCATTTTTGTGAGACACACTGTATTTCATTATATCTAAGACACACATTTTTTTTTCACATTTTAACATCTCTGAAGTCAGAATGCATCCTACCATTAGGTCATTTTAGATTCAATGATATACAATATTTTTTAATACTCTTAACAACTATTAATTCAAAGTATATTGCGTCAGCCATTGAAATTAAGCATTCTGTTCTTGAAATTAAAGCTAGTTGTATATGTTTTATTTTTAGAGGGTAGTGTTTAATTATGAGAAAATATTTCTGTTTCTCTTTCCTGCGAGGATCTATGACTGGTTATTACCAGTGTATTCTCTAATGTCTGACCTCGTGCTGAAGTCACAATTGCAGATATAAAAAGTTCTATAGAGGATGTCTGTAAAATAATTGAATTGTATGGTTTTTGACTTACCCCATTGGAACACATGACTAGATTCAAATCTCTTTAGAGTATAAGAATAATAAAATTTTGTTGAAAGTCAGCTAATTCAGTCAGGGTCCTAAGGAAAACATGGCGCCCTCAAGCTGGGTCATTGAGGGGAGTTTTCCATGGGGAGTGTCTACAGAGGTGTGGGCAGGGTGTGGGAAGAGGTAGAGGGATGGTGCAGAACCCCAGGGGTGTAACGGGGAAAGGAGAGGGCACTTATTAGGACCCAAAGAGAGAGTTGTCTGGGGAAGGCCTCCAGTCAGGAGCTGTGGCCTTCAACAGAGGGACACGTCCAACCTGTGGTGACCTAGAACGTGAGGGAGCCCAGGGGAAGCGCCCTCACCTCACTCTCCTCCCCACCTCTGGTCTCCTGCCCACCCCTCCTTGACCAAACCCAACCAGAAGCCAAAGGGTATGAGGGCTGCTGCTGCTGACGCTGGCCACACAGGTCGGCCTCCAAGAGCAGAGATGGAGAGAAGGTGGAGAGGAATCAGTGGAAGCTGTTTGGCGCTCATGCCTTTCATGGTGCCTCTTACAAATCCCTGGGGAAGTCTGCGCCACTGACCCTTTCATAAATGCAGCAGACCGCATGCCTCTTAAGGGCAAGGGTGTGTACTCTCCACCATTGTCCCCAAGGGCTTGGCCTGAGCCCAGCTGAGGGAGTGGTCAGAGCTTCCCAAATGCACTTCAGTGCCCTTCCTCAGCCAAGCGCGAAAAGGAGCCCACCACACAGTCTTCCTAGACTCCCAGCCAAGTGCAAAGGTTCTGGTGCTGGATATTTCTTACCTTTGTGGCATGCTTGTTCAGAAGGTAAAGGCTAAAACTATTTATCGTCAGTATTTTTGCTGCCTCAAAAACCAGAACCACTCTGTCCACATGGGGGCTCTTGGTGCACCTGATGGACATAAGGATACTCCTTCTGTGAGTTTCTCGCAGCACCAGCTCGCATTTTATTCAATTATAGTAGGTCTTTTCTGCTGAAGAATAATTATTAAATTCTACACCGGACAATAGAAGATGCTGTAACCTAACTTAAGTGGAACCATCATTTTCTTATATTATGACTTAAAATGAATGGAATGAACCTAGTAAATTAGAGGAGCAGAAGCTATGCCAGAAGAATTCCTCATCTTTGTAAATATTTTGAGTTCTGGCGTGGTAACTTGATCAGCTCATGTATGTGATGAGTAATAGAGATGTTTAGATGATCAAACCCATCACTGGGCTTGTATATAATTATTAGTACCATTTAAAGAGTCAAGGGGCCGGCCCTGTGGCTTAGTGGTTAAGTGTGCGCGCTCTGCTACTGGCGGCCCGGTTCGGATCCTGGGCGCGCACTGACGCACCGCTTCTCCGGCCATGCTGAGGCCGCGTCCCACATACAGCAACTAGAAGGATGTGCAGCTATGACATACAACTATCTACTGGGGCTTT